TCCCTTTTTGTATAATTAATTTAAAGAAAATACTAAAAATAGGGGAAAAGAGTTAATTAAATTTTATTTTATTTCTAAAAATTCTGATGTCTTTTCTTTCGGGTTGTTGAGCTAGGGGCGGAAGCTCCAAACCCCTTCCCCACGGGGGGAGGGGAAATACTGCCCAATTTTCTTGACATTTTGTATAATATTTCCAATTAATTAGGAAATAATTAAAGAAAATACTCGAAAATTTATCAAAAATTAATATTTTCTTTTTGATATTTTTTCCCTTTTGCTATACTCTTGCGGCGGCTATTTTAAGGCCTTCGGCCACACCCCATCCCCACGGGGGAAGGCGAAGTGCTGCCGGATTTTTCGGGGACCCTTGTGGTCGAGCAATTTTTGCCTAAAGACATGTACAAGGGATATAAGTGTATGTAAAATAAGAAAGGGGGTGTATCTTATGTAAATGTAATTATTGTAAATTAAATACAGTTAAATACAGAAAAATTCTCTAGGAGGGAAAAGGGGAGGCCTTGTATGCCCCTAGGCAGTGGTCGGGGGCCAGTAGGTTTCTGAAGGTTAAAAGTAAATTTTATTAATTTAAACACATTAAAATTTCTTAAAAATGCCAAAATGGCTTAGAAAGATGGCGGAAGAAGGTGAAGGCCTTCTAATTCTGTTTATTAGATAGGGGAGGACATTTGAACCCCTGAGGGGTGACCGGAGCGGTCGGAGGCGGCGGTCCCTTGAACAAGAGCACACGCCTTGTATTCGAGGGAACTCGACTAAAGGACCTGTTGCTTTGTTTAAGGCCGGGAAACCGCCCTTAGTACCAAAGGGGACCTTTGGGATAGTTAGGAGATAGATCGACAACGTGATATCGGGGCTCCCAACGAAGGGAGGCGAAGCGCTGTCGAAATTTTCTTAGAAACAACAGCCTTCTTCTACTAACTTTCACCTTCTCTACCCACCCCTCTTGCTACGTTCTCTCTAGTCGCCGGTTGGATGTGGCCGCAAGCGCAAGTAGAGGTCTATGAGGCAACCATCGACTGGGACTTGGAGCCCCCTGAACTCATAGAAGGGGATCCGGTGGAGTTCACGATTCCCGTGCGCAGCGTTCGATACATTGATGGCCAGTTCGCGTGGAGGTCCATAGTCTTGTCTGCGGACGTGTGGCTTTGGATGCATAGAGAACACCGGCAAGGACAAGGAGTGGGCATGGTGAGAGCCTACATGTACTTAGGAACGGACGAGGTTATGGAGGCCGTGCTGAGCCTCGCGACGACCGGGACTAGTGGCGCAATTAGCAGGGCGTTACCCTACCTGAGGGAGGAGGTAGCCGCCTTCCGAGCGGAGGACTTAAGCGACCCATTGACCCTTTTTCACGGACGCCCTCCACTTGATATCACGGGCGAGCTGGTGGTAGCGCGGGACGGGGTTTTCCCGTATAGCGTACGAAGTCTGCGGGCGATAGTTCCGGCATTCGCAGTAGAGAGCGTCTTTGGAGGAATTGGTGGAGTGGTCGAGACGTACCTAGCCTATCAGGATCTCAAGATCCTGGCGAGGAGGCCTGATGACCTCGACTACATCTATTATTCACTCGCGACCGGCGGACCTCGTTGGGGTGACAAGAGGGTTCAACTTATAGAGCTGATCCGTTCGATAGACGACAAGTGGCCCCAGTCTCCGTGCGTTTGGGATTGGCTGGACCGTGAGCTCCGTGCAGGCCCTGAGTACGTGACCTGCATCAGGCGGCACTTCTCAGACGACTGGGGTAGCTGGTGGAGTGAGGACGCCGGACGACTTCTGATATATGGCCATCAGTTGGCAGAGTACTACCAGGCTATAGGGTAGGCGCCATACCGCGTCGAGGACGAGTTTGACGACGAGGGTTGGGAGCGAGACGACGACGAGGACGCCTGGGAGCCAGACTGGGTCGACCCAGAGAGTGAGGTTGACGAGGAGGAGATCGACGTTACGGACGCCAATTTCCCCAGGATAGGAGTAGCAGTCCGGGCGTAGGAGGCAGAGGAGCACCTTAGGGCGACGGTTGAGTGAGCTTAGCTACTGTTATCGGCCAATAGTGGAGAGCGGATTGATGGTAGAGCAGGCCAGTGGAGTGGAGCTTCAAATAGATGATGCTAGATGACCTAGACCTCCAGAGATAGTAGCGCCAAGCAGGGTGACGCTAGATCTGCCGGCCAGAGGGGTTTCGGCGGATGCGATAGAGAGTCGATGATCATCGACAGTGTTGGGCCCAGACGTACACTTGTGGACGTATGGCATCGAGACGTTTGAGCTAGATAGTCAGAGGTGGCGACGACCAGGCACGACTAGCATAGAGGTAATGGGCCACATTTACTACTCGCAGGAGGTGCTAGCCACGGTCTATTTTCACGGCATCGTGCACGATCATTGGCGAGAGGAGCAGACCGCGAGGAGGATCTTGTTGGCTCGAGCGGACTCCGCGCGCGGCGAGGTGGAGCGGCTGCACGGGGGTGTTCGGAGAGTGACGACGACCTTCAGGATTGGAGGACACTTCTCATATCCTAGCAGTCGACTACGTGTGACACTTCCGTGCTTCGTGGCAGAGGAGCTTTGGAGACTTAGGCGTCTGGGTGAGATCTACTTTGCGGCTCTTGACTTGGACGACCTCTACTTTGCCTGTTTTGCGCAGTTTGTAGCGGGGCCGTTTGTAAGCGAGCGAGGGCTCCAGTTGATTGAGTTCCTGCAGGTCATTGTACCTACCGGGAGCCCTGAGCTATACTCTCTGTACCAGCCCCTAGCCTTCTGGATGGCGCTAGAGAGAGAGGCTCGGAGGCCTACAGATCATTTAGCTGGAGTAGGACAGTTGTTAGCCGAGAGTCGTGAGGAGAGGCCGAGCCATCTCATCCCGACCGGGGAGGTTGAGGAGTATTACCGGCAGGTATATCCAGAGGCTGACGATCTTGCGTGGTACGCTGAGGATCGGGATTGGGAGGAGTTCGATGACAAAGACCCTTGGGCCGACCAGGACGAGGGCTGGGAAGATCTGGCGCGGGCCGAGGGACAGGAGCAGGTAGGTGGAGAGGCGCTGCAGGAGGACGGCTGGGGGCATCTCCTTCAGGCCGAGGGACAGGAGGATATCCCGTGGGGCCAACAGGTAGATGAGGACACAGATGAGGATATGCCGGATGCGTGAGATGATTAGAGGCAGGGCATATCCGAGTGAGGCTTAGAGAAGGGAGTAGTGGAGAGACGGTAAGTGGAGATCTTTAGGCAAGACGACAGTGGCTGTAAGAGCAGGAAAGGATGGCAGACAGGGACATACTGAGAGTGACTCTTTCCCTACGACGAGAAAGGACAGGAGGCTGGGAAGATGAAGCGTTGGGCAATTTAGAGCGACAGGTCAGACTCATGACGGAGCATGCCCTGGAGATACGGAGAGGCCAGAGGTACGTCGAGTTCACTATCTACTTCCATGGAGCCGACGGGAGAGTGCACAACACTTACTCAGCCATACTGGATCTGAGTGAGAAAGTTGTTTAAGGAGTTAGCAGCATCGAGTGATAGGGTGCGTCGGAGGGAGTAGAGTGCTATAGACCGAGAGTCGGAGGGGAGATGAGGAGTGACTCAGTGGCCTGGCTAGCTTATGTTCTCTCACGAGAGTTCGAATCCTATAGCGTGAGGAAACTTGTGAGACCCAGAGAGACGACTGTTGGATACGACATTCCTCTTCCTGTGGCGTTAGAGGGGACAGGGCGTGTTCCGATACGTTGCCTGGGAACCTGGCTGGCAGAAGGACTTTTCCTTTGGACAGTGATACTTAGAGATGGACGACCCGAGAGGACTCATGATCTGGAAGGCGTGGGACATCTGATAGCGGATTGAGCACACGATTTAGAGGTAGGACAGATGCTCGCAGGGCCAAGCAGGGCTTGGTGGAGAAGCGAGTTGTTGGCCAGAGTGATCGTTAATGAGCAATTGGCGAGACTCTCTGGAGGGAGGACGTACTGGAGCCGCTTGGTATATGGTCCACCGCACCTGACCCTCTACCCGAGAGAGGATTGGCGATTCAGACTTCCTGCTTTCGTGATAGGGCACACCTATGGGAGAGTAGATCGTTTGAGTAGAGCAGTGGACCACACACTTTACGCGCTATGGGAGGGCTTAGCGCCCCGTTTCAGGGAAGTATACTACGCCATTTGTGTGAGGTGGGGACCGCCCAGCAGACAGACGCTTGATGACATCATAGACGTTACTTGCTGGGTGGATTGTCTGAGGCCAGTCGATCTGATTAGGTACTGCAGGAAATGGGCGAAGATTGATTACGTGGGGCTAGAGGATGTGAGGTTTCTCTTCGAGGCCGCAGCTTATGGAATGCCGGGGAGGACGACTATTGTGATGCGCGTAGATAAGCAACTGGTAAGCACAGGGTACACCGTGACGGTACTTCTCCGAGTATACATAGATGAGGACTTGACGGCGAGGGAGTGCCGACTACGTGCCAGGGATTTGATCCACAAGCATAGAGGCGATGTACTGGAACAGGTGACCTTCCAAACCTCGATTTCCTATGATGTGATGATATGGTCTCATGGTTATATGCGCGCGGAGTACTACCACGATGAGGCGGTAGCAGAGGCTAGAGCAAGGGTGAGAGGATGAGCTGGAAAGAGATGTGGACTGAGTATGGAAGAGGAGAGTGAGGCAGTCGGAAGAGTGAGAAAGCGCATTAAAGAACCACTCTTGAACCAGGTAAAGGAATTAGGGAACAAGATAAGGGAGATCGGGTCGTGCCAGGACGAGTGCAAGCTGCGTAGGGTTGAGCTCGTGACGAGAGAGTTAGAGAGTTTGTTCAGGGAGGAAAGAGAGATCATCCAGGCGTGGAGATTAGACTTTTTGGAGAGGATAAAGGCTAGGAGCGTATCACACGAAGGAACTGGGGAGAAGTCTGCAGAGGGCGTGACAACGGAGGACAAGGTAACGCAGGGAGGTAGTGACAGGACATGAGCGGGATCGCACTCCACACGACGGATCGGTACTCATTGCATGTGGTAGGGAGACTGGACGGACCGTTGGTGTTAGTGATCGTAGAGCTCCAGCGCCATACCAGAATGTGCATAGTTGAGGAGGCAGAGTGTGTTCGCCGTGCGCTGCGTGAGGCTAGGGGGACAAGACTTTGGATTGGAGTAGAAGGAGGATGAAGGATAAAATACGTACTCCGAGTGACACCTTTCGAAGGGCGGTCTCGGATAAGGGCATGGTACGAGACAACTAGAGAGGCTGAGAGGTTGAAGATAAGCGAAGCCAGGAAAGCTCGAGAGCTAGGGAGAGTTGTAACAGACGGTGCAATACTCAGGGTGCTAGCCGCTCACGATTGGTACTGGAGGGAATCGATAAAGACTTTAGAAGCCATAGAGGATAGTGAAGATGAGGAGGATTTTGAGACATTCTATGATATATTGGAGTTCTCGGCAGTAAGACTGCGAGCGGCTATAGCACTGACCACCCTCAGATACTAAGGAAGGGACCTCATAGCTGTCTGCGAGTTAAAGGAGGAGAAATAGAGATTGGAAGCTCTTGGAAGGATAGTGGAGGATAAAAAGGTCGACGAGCAACTTTGGATGGCAGTAGGAGGGGAGCTTCCTCCTTTAGCAGGCTACTCGATTCAGGACGGGGTAGGAGACCTAGCAAGGAGGACGGAGATAGACGCTCGAGGGTTTTTGAGGGGTGCTGATCAGGAGACATTGGTTAGGCTTGGGACTGCAATCTGTCGCAGGCGTAGAGATCCTGTCACGGGTGTACTGCAGATCCGGAGAGGCGCGACCTTGTTGGCCGATCCCGAAGGAGAGGTTTACCTAGACACAGGGATTCTTGGGATAGAGGGAGAGCACGAAATCCGGGACCGGAACGGAGTACTGGTGGTGGTAATCGGGGCAGTCGAAAGCTAATATTGGAGGCGGACGTGAACCGTGCCAAGGAAACAGGTCCGGGCTGCTGCAATTGTCACTGGTCCGGGCTGCGAGTTCTGTCACAGGTCCGGGCTGCAGCAATTGTCATAGGTTCGGGCTGTAACACCCGGCGAGAGTGTTCGACCGCATCTTCTGGTAGCCTATGGAACCAGACACGATGGGGCCACAACCGACCACGGTCGAAACAGGAGAGGAGTACAGGACATCGCCCGACCGAGCTCTGAGGGATCTGAAGGAAAGAATTAGGCAGGGGGCACCGCTGAGATGGGCCGACCAAACCCATGACGGAGAGCCCGACGTAATGAGCGAGCCGGTCGTGACAGAGCCGCAGGAGACTTTGAAGACAGGAACCTCGAGCGGTCGACGAGAAGCGACAAGACGGCGCTCCCCCGAGTATGAGCGGAGGGAAACCATGGCGGATAGGCACAGGGACGACTGGCGAGAGAGTTCGAGGGACTCCTATTGGAGGGACAGAGACAGAGATAGAGCACCGCCGTGGCGTGTCTTCGACCCCCAAACGGGGGAATCACACCCGCTCCCTTACGAGAGCAAGGATCTCTATATTATTACGCACAAGGCCTCAGAGTCTCCTACTTTCAGGGGCTATGGCATTACAGAATATCTGGAGAAGTGGGAGCTTCACGCCAGCCGGAGTCAGTGGTTGAAGGAAGAGATTATAGAGAACTTCCTATTTAATATGGATACAAGCCTCGGCAAGGAAGTTAAGGAAGTCCGACCGAAGGATGGGAAATGGACTACGTACAAAAAGAACCTCGTTGAGCTTTACAAATTAGAGGATAACAAATCCTCCATCAAGGATCTTGAGACGATGACTCAAGATGAAGATGAGAGCGTATGGGCATTTGGAATACGTTTCCGGAAGATCTCCGACGTGCTAATGAAGAAGGGGAAGATCTCRGAGGTCGAGCGCTGTACTATCTTCATTGGACACCTGTCCAAAGGTAGACAGAAGAGTATACTTAGAGATCTTCCGCGCGACAAGCTTGACTTCCCAGAAGTCCTAAAGCTCGCGATAAAGGCAGAAGCAGACGATTACAAGGACTTGGTGTGGAGGGGGATGAGAAGGCGTGACTTCTCTCTCTACAAGGAGTATGCCACTGATAGATGTCCTGATTTCAAGGACTATCCCTGGTCGGAGAAGAACGAAGCCGTGGCGGAGGAAGTGAAGGAGATAAGGGACATGGTAAAGGGATTGACAAGACAGGTTACAGAGATTGTGACCACTACAGGAGCCACGACATACCGAGACAAGCCCGGAGGGCCCTATTCACTTCGTTGGGACCGGAGGAACACTGATTCCTGGAGAAGTGTCAAGGATAGAAATCCTCGAACGCTGACTGATTATCATGCGAGGGAAAGAGAGAGAGACGATGAGCCATGGTGACGCAGGGATGATGAGATAGACCGGGACCGGAGAACTCGCGAGACGTATGAACGAGCTAGGAGGCTGGATGATTACTCGTGTAGCCCTCGCTATGAGTCTGACGGGGGTAGAGGCGACTCTCGAGGCTGGTGGGAGTCGGATCAGGGCTGGCGAGACGGATACTGGGATGGCAGATATGAGAGATCGGATCGAGATGGACATAGGGACGACATATATGAGAGGACGGATCGAGACGGATACAGAAGTGGCCAATACGAGAGAGGACATCGACCCGATGATACGCGCGGGCGATACGACCGAGGAGATCGGCGCGATGATTCACGCGGGCGATACGACCGCGGAGATCGACGCGATGATTCACGCGGGCGATACGACCGAGGAGATCGGCGCGATGAGGTTAACGAGGCATGTGGTTTTCAAGCCTGAAATTTATGAAATTAGGGTTTTGGGCTCAATTTTTATGTTTTTTTAGAATTTCAAGTTTTTGTTGTTTATGCATTTTGATAGGGTTGCCGTATATGAAATTTTGGGTTATTTGGAGTTTTAGAATTTGCGCTGTTAAGATTTCTGAAATTTCTGAAATCGGTCGAGTTTTTTTTTGGCCAAATTTCATGGAAATGCAACTTTCGCTTGCTGTTTTATATGTTTTTAATTGTTTTTTTTAGGGCTTTTTTCTGTGATGGGGTCATAAGAATTGCACTCGATAGATTGGTGTGAAGTGTTGTTAAAATGACTGTCTGGTTTTCTTATAAATGGGCCTGAAAAATGGGTGCTCGGTTAACCTGCTCTCCCGAGGAGATCGGCGCGATGATTCACGCGGGCGATACGAACATGGGGACCGCCGCAATGATTCGCGCGGCAGGAATGAGAGAGGGGGATATGGCGCGTCGTCTGATCCGTATCCGAAGTCCCCTGACCCAGAGCAGCGAGAGGTTCGACCTCGAGAGGCACACAGGTTAACCGAGCACCCATTTTTCAGGCCCATTTATAAGAAAACCAGACAGTCATTTGAACAACACTTTACACCAATCTATAGAGTGCACTTCTTACGACCCCATCACATAAAAAAACGCTAAAAAAAACAATTAAAAACATATAAAACAGCAAGCCAAAGGTGCATTTCTATGAAATTTGGCCAAATTCCAAAAAAACATGAAATTTGAGCCCAAAACCCTAATTTCAGAAATTTCAGGCCTGAAAACCAGATGCCTTGTTAACCTCTTGTGGCGTCTGCTGTAGAGGGGATAATCATATCAAGAGAGATTGCCCGGACCTCAAACGAGCAATAGATGAGGGGCTTGTCGTGCTTGACGACCGCAAGTATGTCAAGTGGGCAGATGATCTGCGAGATGTATCGATGTTCCCTTCGATCAAGGAGAATGTCGAAGCAAGGAGAGTAAAGCCGAGTAAAAGAAAGGAACCGGTCAGGAGCCAGAGCATCAAGATAATTTTTGAGGGGGAGATGGCGACCACACCCATAAGGGTGGCAGCCACCAAATCGGCGAGAGGGTCTACATCGAAGAAGACTAACACGGATTACGTGATGGCAGAGAAGGACGGGCAGAGGATCGATGGAGAGGAGGTTCTCCTTTCACCGCGGAAGCGGGGAGTGAAGAAGTTCTTGATGAAGAGTTCGCTGGACGAGATTGACACGGTCGAGCCACTGAGGCGGACCCTTCGACAGCCCATGCAGTGCTCTATCCTAGAGTATCTGGCGGCATCCAAGCCGGCTCGTGATGAGTTACAGATGATCACGTGGAAGACCCGCATACCTCTATTAGAGGAGGCTCAGAGGGCCCCTAAGGCAGATGCTCCTACTGTAGCAGTAACGGGGGTGACTGCCAGAGCGGATCGCATGGCGACAGTCCTTCTTGATGGGATGGAAGGTGTGCCTCCAGACAAGTTTTACATACTTGGAAGTGGGGTCATGGAGGCGATCATAAATGATGGAGCGGTACTAGAAGCTGTGATCGATAACGGCAGTGAGGCTGTCATTATAGACGAGGACCTGGCAGTGTAGGTTGGACTGGGCCTCGATAGGTCATACCTATTCGAGATAGAGACGGCTGATGGGAGGAAGCAACAGATCACCGGGGTTTGTCACAAGGCAGCCATAGAGGTCCAAGGGGTACGAGTGACCCTGCCTGTCTTTGCAGTCAAGAACTGCAGCTCCGATCTGCTCTTGGGACGAACGTGGTTGAGCCACGTGCATGCGGTGACGATAGAGCAACCGGACGGGAGCCAGACTTTGTCCATTAAGAAGCTAGATGGGACGCGGGTTATGATTGAGACGGTGGAGCCTCGAGACCCGAGGAACAGAGCAGCTCTCGCTGTGGGAGCAGGGCCCGGTGATCGGATTAAGTCATTACCTATCTCCGGCCGTGCGGTACGATTTCGCGAGAAGAAGTATGGACCACTGCTTTCAGAAGAGGAAGGTCGGATCGTAGAAGTGGAAGATTTAGGAAGTCGGCTGATAGTGGATAGCAACTCGTACCCGAAGGAGACAGATGAGGAATTTGGCGGTGTGGTATCCATGTCTCTTTTAAGGGCACGGCCCCCTATGGGGGACTACCCAAGCGACACAAGCGAGTAGCTCAAAAAGTTAAGTCAGCGGCGGTGGGCCGCGAGCGATCTGCACTTGAAGGGATATCGGAGGAAGAGATCGCCAAGGAAATCAAAGAGAGAAAGAAAGAGGAGCCGCAACGCCTAACGGAAGAGAGGATAGTAGAAATGGATATCGGAGATGGGAACCTGACACCACAGGAGCGGGAACGTGTGATTGAAACTCTAAAGACGTGCGATAAGGCTATAGCCTTCAGCGACGCGGAGCGCGACAGGGTTGATCCTCGTTACGCCAAGCCGGCAAGGATTTACACGGTTTCACATGTTCTATGGAATGACGCAGGATTGAAATACGCCCAGAAGGAGAAGGAAGAATTTATCACTTTCCTGAAAGAAAAGATGGTTTCCCATGTTGCGGAACCGTCTGATAGCGCTTATGCTAATCGATGGTTCTTCCTACGAAAGCCGAATGGCAAGATCCGATGGATCCAGGACCTTCAGAAGGTCAACGCGGTGACGATACGTGACGTTGGATCCGTGCCACACGCCGACTTATTGGCTGAAGGCGCCGCGGGCAGGTCGATTTATTCGGTCTGTGATCTGTTCTCAGGCTATGATGAGGTACCGCTTGATCCTAGGGACAGACACCTCACGACTATGCACACGCCATTGGGACTGATTCAGATGATGGTCGTCCCCATGGATTGGACTAATGGGGTAGCTGTTTTTCAGAGAGCTATGGTAGCCGTCCTCAAGGATTTCATCTCTGATAAGGTTGAAGTTTTTTTGGATGATTTTTCTATTAAAGGGCCAATAGAGAAGGATAAGACAGAGGTCGTACCAGGAGTTAGAAGATTCGTCGAGTAGCACCTAACAGATATTTCCGCGGTACTTGACGATGCGAATTTAACGGTCAGGGGAACAAAGAGCCGGTGGGCCGTCTTGACTATTAAGATCTTGGGCTTTATCTGTGACTCGAGAGGACGCCGAGCAGATCTAGCGAAGCTGAACAAACTCCTAAACTGACCGTCACTATTAAATAGTCCAACCAAGGTCCGGCAGTTTCTGGGAGTGGTCCGTTACTGGCGTATATTCATACGGGGGTATGTAGAGAAGGCTGAGCCATTGAGGATACTCCTTTGAAAGACCGAAAGATTCTAATGGGATTCCTCGCACGAACTCGCTATGCAAGAGCTTAAAGACGAATTTAAGGAAGGAGGACGCGTACTGGGCGTGCCATTCTTTGACGATGAGACCGAGAGACCCTTCATAGTATCCACGGATGCTGGACCTTGTTCAGTAGGTGGATTGTTGTCTCAGAAGGACGCTGGAGGGAAAGAGAGACCGTTATGATTTGAGAGTAGAACACTTAATACGGCTGAGCGTAACTACAGTCAATTCAAGAACGAAGTGTTAGCTGTTTTGCGGTGTCTAGACACATTCAGACACTTTATCTATGGCCGCCGGTTCATCTTGAGAGTAGATCCCACCGCGGTTGTCTTTGTCCTCCAGAAGGACTTTAGTCTGACGGACCCGACCATCGCTCGATGGTTAATACGGATTCGGCTATATGATTACACATTTGAGAGGATATCTGGCACTAAAAATGTTGTGGCAGATGGGTTTTCGCACATCCCTCTTGAGGCCAAGCGCCTGATAGTAGCTGGAGCCTTGACATTGGCAGAGCCGAGACACGCCGAACGATTTCTGGTTAACCTCTACGAGGACAAATACCGAACGATCGGGTTACATTTGTCGGGTGAGGAGAGTCAAGATTCAGATATCCAGAGACAAGCAGCCCAGTACTGCCTTAGAGCGGGCCACCTTTTCCGAAGGCCAGTCGGGTTGGGAATGCCCTTTTGAGTAGTCTGTGATCCAGAGGAGAGACAAACGATAGTTGCGGAGCTTCACGACGGGGTAATCGGAGGACATAGAGGAGTAAAAGGGACCTACGAAAAAGTACGCAGACTGTACTGGTGGGAAGGACAGTATAAGGACGTCGAGAGATACTGTATGACCTACGAGGAGTGCCAGAAGAGAGCTCTTGTGAAATGCAAAGAGCCGCTTCATCCATCTTATCCGACCAGGCCGGGAGAGAAGGTACACATCGATCTGGTGAAGATGCCGAAAGGGGTAGGCAATATGAACTACGTCGTGAACATACGAGACGACTTTACTGGGTTCGTGGACGGTAGACCTATCAGGAGTAAGACGGCAAAGGAAGTGAAGAACTTCGTCCTGGAGTACTTATCTAGGTATGGTTATGTCAGCAAGATAGTGATGGACAGAGGGGCGAAGTTTCTAGCTGATGAGGTTCAGAGTGTGTTCAAGAGAGCCGGGCGAGAATCTCGATAGCCACCGCCTACCACCCACAGTCGAACTCCCCAGTAAAGATGGGGCATCAGACTCTAATAGCATCACTATCCAAGTGGTGCAAAGGTAAGGACAGTGATTAACCGCGATATTTTCGATACCCGATATGGGCAGACAACGTCACGGTCCGGGCTAGCACTAACACCTTGTGGTTTGGGCAGCATTGTCTGCTCCCCATAGAGTTTCACATCGACAGTTAGACAACCATCGACTGGGCGGAGGAGATGTCTCCACAGAGGAACTCTTAGCTGCCCGAACAAGACAGATAGCCTACGGTTTGAAAGACAACCTCATGACAGCGGCACATCGTCTGGCAGTGGAAAGGGACAAAGGTAAAGAGAGATGGAATAAAAACATGCGGATCAGGAAAGAGAGGGTGAGCGTAGGAGATATGGTCCTTCTCTACGACGAAGCATTGGAGAGGACCTGGGCCGGAAAACTCGCCAACAGATGGATGGGACCGTATAGAGTGGTTGAGGCACACGACTGGGGGGCATATATGATAGCAGAATTAGACGGATCCAAGTGGAAGGACCCAGTGGCGGGTGCTAGGTTAAAGTTGTTTAGGCCCAGGCCAGCACCCACCTTATCGCTGACAGGCCTGAAAGAAAAAAGGAAAGGCTAAAATGGCGAACGGAGCCCCCTTCAAACGATTCGAGGCAGGCGAAAGTTTCAAGAAGAGGAAAAGAGTAGAGAAAAGTAAGGTCAAAGGGCAGGCATTAGGAAGGGAGAAGAAATGGTTATTCGTGCTCAAGAGGGTCAGATGGAGAGTGCGAATTAAACGAACGGGCGGATCGGCACCTTTCGCGGGTCAACGTCAGAAGAAAAAGAGGATTCTACCAAGGCCGATAACCCGACGGAAAAGGGAAGTAAAAAAACATCTACTTAGCCCTAGAACTCAAAATAAACTGAAACGTAAAACAATTAAACGCCGACGTGGGCGTCCTTTACGGGCAATCACCCTGAAGCTCGTCCGCTTCGTCTGACGTAAGTGGCTAGGGCTCGACGGGGGAGTCGAGAAGTAGTCCGGGCTAACTGTCAGGCAGCCACAAGCAGTGCGTCGCCTGAAATCTGGGGATTTGGGGCTTAGGATCAAGGACAGGTCCGTGTTTTGACGGTACTCTGGTTTGACCGGGCAGCAGAAATTAGGGGAACTAAGGGTACCCTTGATTTTGGGCGCACAGAAACTTACGAGTAACCCCCAAAGATGGCGAAATGGGTAGCCGCTCYCGRCACATCTAGGAACCGTCATTTCCGCTCGTCCCGAGGCTAGACCTGGGATGRCYGGCTGCRRGGAGGCATCGYGTSTGTTGTCCYCGCCGCAATGCGTTAGCAGCATATGATYGGGCTRRAGTAGCRCCTSAAWTTTTTGTCAKTTTTTTRTACCTAAATTAARGCCRGGAGAAAWGATTGGGAACARTAGATGGGGAGRGAAAAACGTAATATTCCTTAATTTYCTAGCTTTTSGCGTGATTTAAATKTTRGGAAAAATACCCCGTTATTTTTTKKTTTTYYRGCAATGGAATCGAAAAKAAAGGAAMATATTTAAAAAATGATAAAGGAGAAAAGAAACAAAGAATTTCAGCAATTTAATTAAGACTGCCTCGGGATTTATTTTTGGAAAGTTTACGGTTATTTTACTGYATCGGATAATAGAATTAAGAAAAAGGGAGAATGATTAAAAACTATGGAACGAACGGGAACTAATGATTATTCGAAGCCGGGCCTGATTTTGCTTGGATTACCCACCGTCATGATCAAGATTTACCGTGTCGCTTTCCTGATCTACGTGATTACTAACCTTAYGGAGTCGGGGTGTTCCGAGGATGGTCGCATGGACGGCGTGGGATGGTGCTATTTGGACCGACATTATGGTATTTGGCACGGTACCGRGCATATTTCAGGCTCGGCGTGAGCTCGACATCGGCGTATATCAAGCTCGGGCACGTCAGCGTGATTTATTGTCGGGTTCGGGACCACTACAGCGGGTTATTTCAGGTTTGGGGTCGCTACAACAATTTATTTCAGCTCTRGCACCACTACGGCAGTTTATTTCAGGTTCGGTGTCATCGCGACTATTGTTTTYAGGTTCGGTATGACTCAACAAAGACATAATTCGGGTTCGG